TTAGTAACTAAGAAATAAAGTGACACAAACCTCTTTGATTGAGGCAACTGCACAAATTGTTGTGGATTTACTGTCAGCACTTAGCTCAAATGTGCAAATGAAGTCTCTGTTTCGACCATTGTCATGTTTAAATAGCACCTCTGCTCTTGGTATAGTTTGATAGGATTCTTTCAAACTCTTGTGTGTTATAACCTATGAGAAAACAATTAATTTTGATTCAGTGTAATCAAAACATGCCTGTGTCAATATTGGCTATTGTTCAGTAACACTGTTACTACCAATCAAGTGGTCCTTACTTTACAATGTACTGGCCCAGCCATTGTGGTAGACTGTGAGCGGTTTCTTTCTTCTAATTTTGCAACAGTGCAAGATGATGGAGAAGCAAGGGATTCAGAGTGCGGAAGCCCAATCCCTCCTCAACTTTACCTCTGAGTTACATAAATAGGGACTTTTCAATAAAAAACATATGATCAGATCTGAGCTCAATATGTCCAATATCACCTTCACCTATTGTAACTACTTCACGCCAAGTGGTGCATAGGGCCTCATATGTCCAATATAGATGACAAGAATTTGTCACAAACTGGACTAAAAAATAAGAGGAAACCATTGCTTGTACTTAGTCCTGAACCATTTAGCTATTTGTCATTATTTTCCCATGTAAGAAAGAGGGAACTTCCCGGAATCAATGGTGACAGTGCATATAGACAAGGAGCCCATGAAGCCCAGGATGACAGATATAGCCATATTTTCATTCAGTTAAAATTTTCTTTACTACAGTAAAAAACCATTATAACAGACACTTATAACATGAAGAGGCTACCTCTGGTTTTATTTCTCCAACAATCCAACCCTCAACAGGTTGTTTAACAGAAATCTTGATGTCTGTCTCAGTTACAGTCTCAACATACAGAGACTCTGGGGAACTCAACAGAATCCTGTCATGTGACCTTTCTTCTTCCATTATTTTCTGATAAAAAAATAACAGTAATGCTTTAAACCTATTTTGATATCTTTTTTTAAGTTAGTGTTAACATTCATGCCATTCATCACACCTAAAATTATTAGTAGTCTACGAGGTAATTGTTGATGCCAATATTAATCCCAAATTACTGTCAAGCAACAATAAATTAATATACATCATCATAATGATGTTTCCAAGATTTGTTACTGTTGTATTAAACTGCTTTTTACTAGTGTGTTTTGGCATTCATACTTGGAATGCATATACATTGGCATGTATACTTGGTTAATTCTCACCAAAATGAAAATTAAAGTCAAACCATTGAACCCTTGTGATTTGCCTTTTTAGGTATACTTTGTGTAGTTGCACTACATCAGTTTCATAACATCAGTTCAAAAGAATGCTGCTTTGCATTTTTTAATTATTTTAGAGAAATATATATATTCTTAACTTCTTTTTCCAAGAGTAGTGTGTTAATTAACTGTCTTCTGTAAAGTTAACAGGTTTTAAACAATTAAAATGTGCAATCAGGAATGTATCTACTAGAACATATAACTTCATTTTACTACTCAGTAATATAACAGATTTAGTACCTCTAGTGATGCTTCACAGTCATCAAAAACATATAGGTATGTTGTGTAGTTCACACCAACTCTGCCCTCTCCTCCAAAGACAGCACACTGTAGACGCTTCTTCGTTGGTTTGTTATTGTGAAGTGATACACCAACAACAACATAAGTAAGAAGATAGTCCACATGGAAGCTAACTTCATTGTTGTGGACTTCATATAGCTCTTCATCTTTCCACACGGTCCTTTCATCATGTAGAGTTGAGCTTTTGAGTTTTAGATCCCACCCATTACTATAAAATACCAAGGCACTGTGTGGTATCCTGACCTTAGTTGGTTTGGACAGTTTCAACCCATAAGAGTGAAATTTTACTACTGGACTAAGTTGAACTTCACCATCTTGGAGTGTATTTAAAACGTCTGTGTTCCAACATATTTCTAGTCTAACTCTTGGACCATTGTGAAGAAAACTTTCTGCATTACTAAACTGGACTAAGACACCAGATTTATCAAAGGATAGAGTCTCTTGAGAGCCATGAACTGTTGGAGCCTCCAGTGTTATTGAGTGACTCCGTTCTGCAGAAAAAAGGATACAAATCTTTTTAAGTTTCTTTCTCTACTCCAATGAGTTTACAAAGCTTTTGCTTTGGGAAGGAGTAGATGGGCAGCATATTTTATTAATTTTATTTACTTTATTGATATGATTCTTTATTTACTTTGTTTTGATTAATTGTATATTTCAATGCCATAGGGTAAATTAGTTTATTTATTTTATTACATTTTATTAGTTAATTGTAGGTCCACATCAGCCTCATTGGCTGCCAATTTTGTAACCTGTAGTACTAAATAAAATGGTGATGATGAATAATTTTATTCTGCAAATGGATATAGTGAATCAGTTCCCTTTTCTGAGTTACTTGACAGTAAGTAACAACTTTATCATAATTTCCAACTTACTTTCTATATGCGTCAAGGTGATAGAGCAACTACTAAAATTACCTTAATGGTAAACAAGTCACCTCACCTTCTTGCTCAGATGGCAATAATGCAGCTAATGACTGACTTCTTAGTAACCTCGCGTGGGTACGGTATTTAACATACTTCCAGATGGCCAATACTGTAACTGCAGTAATAACTCCAAGTGCTATCATAAGAATAAACAATGCAGGAGAATCTCTTTGGATTATTGTTGTATCTGTATTAGCATTTTTTTGTTGGCACACATTAACAGCCCGCTGGGTGAAACTACACTGTTTGTTTTTTGGCATATTCTGTGCAACACATTCAGTAACATGCACATCCTGGTCATCGTTACAGCAGGCAGAACAAGGTTTGCATTCGGTACCATTTGCATTATAAAAGCCATTATTACATTCACCACAAACTCTGTCATGGGTCATATTACAAGGCGTAAGTTCTTTCTGTCCAACAGAACATGTAGAACATGCTTTGCACGATTTTTTCCCTGGTTGTTCTGAAAAGGTAATTCCAGCAATACACTTTACACATCTGATATCATTGGTGTTTTCTACAATGCTTCCACATTGTGGGAAAAGTGAAAATCCCGGTGTACAGCTTTTACACTTCTTGCAATATGTACCAGTTCTTGTTACAACAAGGTATTGATCATCTCGACATTTAGGTTGGCAGTCGATTTCATTAGCATCACACTGTTTATAATATGGCATGTCTTTGCATTGGTCTTTAACAGTGTTTCTCCCATCATTGCAGCACCATGAGCAAGCTCGACAGTCACCTGTCATTTCTTCATAATAGAACCCACTGCTACAGCTCTGATTACACTTTGAATTAGATTCCAAAGTACAGTTTCTTATTACCTTTTGATGATCTGAGCAAATGCCACATGGGTGACATGAACTAATGTCATATGTTGCAGAATATGTTGTCCCAAGTTCGCATGGTTGGCACTCTACTTTCGCACCATATTTAATGAAGCTGCCACACTGTGGAGTCAACCCATATCCAGGTGGGCAGGAAGGACATGGTAAACAAGAAACATTGTGGAACACGTCTTCTACTTGAAATTCATCATATTTACATGAACAAACCTGATTGAGCAAAATTAAAGCAATGATCAAATAAAGGCATCTCAGTTGGTTAACTTTTTCAGCTTGTTTTATTGGATGAATTAAATTAAGATAAAAGTGTTTGTTCACAAAAACAAAGAGAGACAGCACAAAACAACTAAAGACACTGCTATCCCTCACTCCCCTTTCCACACTGGATGCGATGAACCACTGAATGTCTACTCCCATGGTTATAAGGCACAATTACCTGGACAGCTACAACAAGAGGAGCCATTAAATGCTAGTTGGGCTCTGGATTATAAGTCTCACTTCCTTTGTGGTGTCTTGAGCATAAAATGTATCAAAGGGTGCTACAACCGCAAAATAATCTAGTTCTTTACAGTCAAAGTACATTGTATTTATCAGGTTTTCTACCTTTAAGTTAGATTTTTTTTAAACTGCTCATTAGGAATACAGTCCATCCTTCCTATAATACTCAGATATCTATCTCTATTAAAAATTGGTAGATGTTTAGGATGTTACATACTCACAGTTAATATCAGATGAAAGTCAAACACACATACAAAAATGAGAAGGACACCCATCCCTCACGTTCTTTGTCTGCAATAAGAAATATTCAGATTAACAGAATCTATTACGTCATCGTTTCGAAAGTGCTTACTAAGCGTAATATTTCTTGCGATAAAAAAGAACCCCAAGAATTTGTTTACTCAGCAAAACATTTCAACTTTCAGCTAATGTTTGGGAGTGTCGATTGAGCTATGCAAATGTCCTTACACACATTACATCGAAACAAAAATTTGTTCCCGTAGTATTGCGCTTGACGTCTTGAAATTAAGACAGTTAAACGTTTGGGTGCTTGTACATAATGCTGCTATACGATGTAAAAGAAAACAGAGTATTTTATGGCTACTTACGGGCATTTCTTGGAGGGAGTTGTGCAGCACATCCAGATACGCTCCTTCAAGAACGGCGATACCACGCACTCTGTCAAAATGGCTGGTGTACGCGAAACTTTCTTAGACGCGAGTGTAGGGGATTCCCCTTTACTCCACAATAATACGTCGAGCTTATAAACCAATCACAGACTCATCAAATGGTCTCGTGCACCAAAATTTTCCGTCCACGTGATGAAACACCGAGCACTGAATGGCTAACTCATTTAAATCGAAAGTGCTTAGGAAGCAAACGTAAATATATTAATGCCGTGGCCAATACGAATTTTGGGACATAACAATTATGGCCTCAGACAGGTACGGTTGTCGAGGCTTCAGTTCCCAGGAACATTGAAGAAGAATCTTTCTGTTACCCTTAACTAGGATAATGGATGACAAAGACAACGAGCGAGATGTTAACATCAGCAGAACAGCCGAAAATGACGACGAAATGGTGTTGGAAGAAGCAGTGAAAGCCGTAACTTTACCTTCTTCGGTATGCCGTACATCGTCGCCTGACAGCACTTCGAGCAATCACTCCGCCGGGGTCTACAGTAACTCGCACCACACGCAAGTACGGCGAAGCACTGATAACAGGGAAGAAGATCTGTTTCTCGAGTTCGAGGAGAACGGTTTTTCGGATAGTCGGGTTCGTATGCATGAATCCCTAGCCCAGACGGCAAGTCTTGAAAAACGCGATCAGGAAGATGGGTTGTCCCGTAAAACACCCAGAAGTAGTCAGCTTGACGAACCCTTGGAGTCCATCGCCCAACCTCTTGAAGAAATCTCTCTCCAGAGTACAACTACTTGTACCCCACTACAAGAAACTTGTGGCCGTCAGTTTGACGATCTCCCAGACGGATGTTTGGAGAACGCCACACAGCTGAGACGAGGAGGCCTTGTGGATGTCGAAAGGATTCGGAGTAAGTAAAACATTTGTCCGAGCGCTATTTATTATGTACCAAAAACGTCTGTATTACATATCTGAGAATATACGACCTCCACATCTCTTTACATGTAGTATTTCATTTTTTCGCGGGTTTAAAGTGCATTTCATTGAAATCGGTATTTTTCAAATATCATACTTATTCTCCCGACCCTAGTCGATTGATTGAACAAAAAAATAATTTTCCACATACATGAGACTTTGGAACGTTACATGTACAAATTGTTTTTTACGTAAATTAATATATAATCCTGTAATTATTTTTGGTCATTATTTTTTTAAATGACAGTTGGATGATTTTTATTAACAGATCAAGAATCAAAACGCTTCACTGTTGTCCTCTTCAAAAGAGGAATCATTGCCAGGGATGACCTTGTTCATGTCCTTTACATTATTCCATATGATGACTTCCAGAAGGTACATAGATAGTATATAATTATGTCACCTCTAGTTCAGGGAGTAACTATACCAGTTATTAACAGTACAAAGTGGCATAGTATTACCTTTTCATAGAAAATTAGGATTGTAAATTTTATGTTTCTTTTAATCAGATTACTTTGTTTTAATTTCTTTTTGAACAATTTTTGTTATTGCAGAAGTTCCCTAAAATTAAACAATATGAAGGTGTTGTTTGCCATGGGACTGAATTTCCAACTGGTGAAGCAAACCAACCCATGTCAGAGAGTTCACTTTACCGCCATATCTTAATTACTGACATTGTCACTATTCAGTTTGAATTAGTCCATGGCGAAAACTTCAGAGTTGTTTGTCCATCTACGGTATGTTGTTTTGATGAATAAAACATAATTTCAAATGATCTTTTTCAGTAAATAAAACAATGATATTAGTCAGAAATATATGATAAAATGACTTCGATTCTGGAATGTTTAACAAAGCTGTACCTAAAAAGCAGTTTAGTGTTTTTTAACCCACCTTAATTACTGCACAGTCAGTTTGTTACATTAAGATGGATCTTAACAGGACACTTAATGAAAAGCACGATCTTGAAATGTTTAGGCCTAAAAGATACATTTTCTTTGATGAAAACCTAAAAATACAAGTATTACAGTCTGGTGTTTTTAAAGATTACTATTGAAGTGTGCTGAATTAGCTACAAAAGGAGTGTCCTAAAGAGTTAATCATCAACATGTCTCAGTAACATTGCTAAAACTAATTACAATTTGCTCTTTCTTCAACAAATATCTTCATCTTGTCTCCCAATACCATTTTGCATAGGAGCAAAGATGCTCAACAGTCATAGTTTTAACACTTGGGTGACCAAAAATAGACAAAAAGTGCTGTGAGTGTCCCTTTTCAGGTTTTTTTTCCTGTTGTTATCCGTCTACATAAATTTCTCAAGCTTTTTTCCTATAAATTTGTCAATGACCACAGTGCTGGGTGGAGAGGCTAAGAGGTGACATGTGCAGAGGGGAAGGGTAGGGTAGGACTCTACAAACAAAGTTTGTAGGCCTTGAATATAGATATATCATATTACACTTTGCATTAATAAATTAAAGCAGAAGAAGGCTATGTAGATTACAAGACAAAATGCAGACTGCTAGTATAGTACCAAGTAATATAAAATGGAAACAAAAACCAAACTTTATTTGTCTGAATGATGATTTCTTTCAGTTTAAAAGAACAGATACTGTAACAGAGGTCAAGGCAATGACCCTGCCCTACAAACTGATAGTACCTTTTTACAAGCATCAATTAAAGCAGTTAAACATTATTTACATCTTGAACCACAAAACAGTCATTTAAAAACTATAACATCCCTGCTTAAGTTGAGTTGATTATGCTTCTTGTGAATATTAAACAGACATGTACCTTCTGCAGTGGTAACTTAATTAACTTTTTTTGAACTACCTTTTATTATTACAGGTAATTTTCATATACCTATTGACAATTTTACATTATCAACTTACAGATGACTGCACATGTATCTAAGATCTGTTCCCGGAGCCAGGATCGTATTGGATGTGGATTTTCAGTCACAGTTTTAGCAAGGTGCACAGGTGGCAAAGACAAACTCTTTCAGGACAGCATCAGGATGAAACTACAAACTGGAAATACAACGTTATGTTTGGTGTTTCCCATTGCTGTAAGTCTCAAGCAGCCTCATTGCCTCATGTTGTTAAATGAATGGTGGCTGTCCCCCTGCCCTTTTGTAATGTGGGGTTTAGTTAAACAGGATTATTGTGTGTTGCTTTTTGGACAGAAACAACATCTGCTGGGTGGAGGGTAGGGAGGCAGGTGACTTTGATGTGGTTTGATTACATTTTGGTATTGAGCACAAAACATTTATAAACTGTCTCAACAGTTTTGTCCAGGGTTGTAGCTATAGCCAGCAGAAAAGTGTTGTGCTGCTGGGCAAGACACTGTACTCTCACAAAACCTAGTAGTCTCTCCACCAGGATGTTACTACCCCAATGTTAGAGCAACATTAAAATGTTACAGCGCAACCATAATACTCTTAACATGTTGCTTCAAGTCACAGAACCCAGAGGTGAATGCTGGCACCAGTGAGCCATCTGTGTCCTCCATCTTCTATAATTAAAATATA